CCTTTGCTGGTTCTTTATTTCTGCAGATTTCCACGCGTCAAGAAAGTCACGTTTATTTGCCCTTCCTTTATTTAGTTTATAAAATATAATTGTGGTATTGTATATTTTAAGATTTGAATGTTGTTTGATAAGGCTGACTGTTAGTTTGTTTTATGTGAAATATAAACAGCTTCTTTTTTTAGTAGCCGGAAAGCATTCATGTTGTAGTTTGAAGTTGGCGAATAAATTTGTGTAAAGCAATATACACATTGTTTCGAAATAATGCTATGTCTGCAATATTTTCACATCTTAAAGTAATATTTTAGTTTATGATTTCGGGGGGGGGGGGGGGGCAAGTACCGGTAACGAATTTGCCACTTTTTTCTTCTTTTTCATGTAATTGGTGACTTATGGATACCTGGGAATCTACAAGTATAAGCACCGGCAAATATGATACGACTAGTTTTGGCATCAGAGTCCCAGGTTTGACGAATTAATGGTGAACATTTGTGCTATACATGAATAATAATGTTTGGCTAATATGAGAATTTTAGCTTAATTATGCCCTTGACTAATTATTGGTTTATCTCACGTAAATAAATTAATGATGTATAAACTGAAACATGATATGGGCTATAATTTGGTAAACATTTAATTCTTGGTTAATAAGGAAATACCAAGTCTGACACTCCTGGTGGAAATTTTCCATATTGACGGAGCTGTCTCAAGGCCACTGTCAATGATTATAAGACTCACTTAGATCCTATAGAGACTGACACGCATTGGACTGTTGAGAGGGGAGACACCCGCCAGATTCTTTAGGGAGAAGATGTAGCAGTTTGTATCAGCAGAATCGCTCTGGCAAGTTTGGATGGGAGTGGGATTGAGAGAATGACTTTATTGTAATCTATGCTTGTAACCTATGTATCCAGTGTTTGACATAAAAATACAGAAAGTAACTGTTGCATTGTGGTTTCTGTTAGACAAACGTCTAGCGACTGAGATAAAAAAAATACACAACGTGAGTCCTAGACAAACGAAGAGAATTACCAATATGATCAGAGACACTACTAGACGATCATTAGGCTATTAAAATGTGTAGCAGGAGAGAGTATGCGTCACATGTTGGCTGTGGGAAGTTTTTGACATTTGAGCTTTCCACATTTGATCAGCGACGCATATTGCCACGGTTCTGCCGATAATACTACTACTTAAAGTACATGTAGTAGTAATACTGCCAGATCCCGAATATCTTCATCTAGAGAGACAGTTTAATACTAATATAGTTTAAACACTAGTACTGGCATTGCTGTTTCCAATACCAATTCGATACCGATAATCTCTGCTGCAAAATCTAGTATTCCCGGTAAAGGCAGTGGTGGCCCGGGCGGAAAGAAATGTTTGTTCAGAGGAGTCGCATTACGTTAGTTCATATAGTTTTCAACAGCCCGTTGATGTCTCAGCATGCATATAGTAATAGTGACATTCGGGTACCTGGTAGTATACCCAGTACCATGCCACCACTGATCGTGGATAAGACTACAATGTATACGTCAGGATCGAGTTTTAAGAGGTCTTATATGGGTGGGGGGGGGGCTGAGTCCCCCCAAAAATCGAATTAGCCCCCACCCCCCAATATTATGTATTGATAAAGGTGGGCGACACAATATGTTAATTATGTTATCTGGTGTGTAATGTGTTTGGTCTCATTATTGAAGCCTATTTTCGCCGCATTATGTCGATTTGCACGGGCATCCTTGAACACACACCCCCCCCCCCCCTAAAACCAGCCCACATTTTGCAAGAGTTGGATAGAGAACAAGCTAGGCAAAAACCGATTTTTCGTAAAATCAGGGGCCATAATTCAGGAAGTTACGATCCGATATGCACAAATATCCGATACATGCCAATATCGAAATCAACCGAGATCTTTCGGAGATAAACCTATATTTCAAGTTTCGTCAAAATCGGATAAGAATTGTGACCTGTAGAGTGTCCACAAACAAATTGTGGGCGGACGGACAGGGGCGTCGACAATATACGTCCACATTCGGGTGAAAGAATGTGAAAGAAATTAGTGCTAGATACACAAGAATGTGGGCGTATAAAAATCATCATATGCTTTTTCTTTGATTTCCTAGAAATGATGTTCTCCCGGAGAATTATGTATTGATAAAGATATTGATAATGTTATCTGTTTAATAACAGACTGTCTGAATCATTATGGAAGACTATTGCGGCCATTTTATAACCTCGACTTCTCGCCGCGTTAAGTCAGAAGCCACGGGCGAGAGAGCGAGACGTCGAGAGCGAGAATGCGAGAACGCGAGGATCTCGCCCCGAGAACACAGGATTATTTATCGACTTCTCGCTGCCAATTTCCCGCCTTTGAAATTTCTCGCGTACTCGCTTTGTCGTCTCGGAAACTCATTTCGTATGTAGGCCTATGTTCACTTACTACCACCAACAGCACAATTGACCTAAATATGTTCATATTCTAGTCTATATTTCTATGAGTAGGACTAAATATACTTTACGGCGGAAATTGCTGACGTTTAAATTTACCTGTGGCAGGTAACATTGACATTCGGGGTCGTGTTGACATATTTACTTGCATTATTTCTAAAAAAAAATATTAAGCTTTTCTGGTGATCTTTATATTCTGTATAACGGTTTCGATTAAAGTGAAATGTTCAGCACCGACTGAGCTATTGAAGACAATGGCTTATTTCATTTAAGTGACATTTATCAGCCATCGATAGTTAAAGGGCTATAATAATCCTGATAATTTTTTGGAGAATAAAACTACTTATTTTTGTGTTAAAATCCCTTAAATTCCTCTACCTAAGGGCGAAGCAACTAACTCAATATTTGTGATGCGTTTTCAGACAACTTAAACCCGTCAGTCTTCATCTGGAAATGGAGACCGGTGTCCCAAGCTGTATTTTGCGGTGCCTGGATAAAATAGACATTTCTTTATAAAAATAATGTGTAGGTGAAATTTACCTTTCGTTATCACGTACAGCACACGGGTCTTTCACTTTATATACCTCTCATGGAACGGGGATCGATTATCAGGTCACCCAACGAAAAAACTGAAAAGGGTTACGTGTCCAGATAAGCAGTTTTGACGTTCACGTCCAAACGACTCAATATTTTGAGCTGCAATTTTGAGACAAGGTAAATAATACACCATTCCTCAATATTTTGGCGCTTAAATTTCATACGTACTCGGACTTCTATTTTTGAGTCTCTGTTCAAATTGGGATAGTCCCTTTAAGCTGTATGTATGAGCAGGGCGCTTTTGTAGGACAATCTACTTGCAATTTGCTGAGCAAATTCACTTGCACAACCCGAACAATCACCTCCCAAGTAACATAATCATCTTCTTGTGGAGTCAAGAAAATCTAAGTTGCCCCCTGCATCGTCCATATTGAGTGGATCAAGTTAATTTGAACGCATTTGAAAAATCACAACAAAAGCAACATACCATCAAATTTGGCTGTAATCCACAGAAACGAAAATATACAAGTCTGGCCATTTAACTTTCTAATCCTACCCTCCATATACATGTTCTCTGATAGTTAACTATGTACACAGCCATGACTATGTAAATTTGTTTAAATTTGTTGTATTTTGTCCATCTCCAAACAATAACATTAAAATGTTAAAGATACATTATGGGAGATTAGATAAAGAGCTGGCGGTTCTCACTATAATAGTTAAAAACTAGATAATATAAAGGGAATTTGCTAAAAAAATTCAGTCAAATTGATCCACTCTGAACCGAGATTTTACCGATTGAATTTTCGGCCTAGTCTCGATCATCATTACTAAAGTCGGTACGATAAAAGAAAAACATAGTGTCGATTATCCATTTCATGATTAAATTATGAATGAAACTTGAACATTAATCCAATAAATATCACTGGCTAGCGATGATATCGAGAGTTGATTATGGTCTGGATATTGGTTAAAACCCAAGCGAAACATTTGATAAAACTATAGTTTCTAATACAAAAAACACCCATACTTTTACCAGGGAAGGTCAAATAACAAAACATGATGATAATTAATGTGATTTAAGTTTATTGTTGTGGATTTGCGTAGAGTTGTGTGCGTTTGAGTAAATTGTGTTACTGGTGGCTGACTATGAACATGCGTACAAATTGAACTTACGAATTGAGAAAGCGAGAACGCCAAAAGTCGGGGTAAAAATAATCTCGTGTTCTCGGGGCGAGATAGGTAAATGTGTCGGTAAATGTCAAGCCTACAATCATGCCAAAACTTATATGTCAGCTGCATCATATCTCAACGTATATCAGTGGTTTTTGTATCTCTAATATATCACATTCGATCCACATCTCTAATACATCTCATTCGATCCGCCACAGATTAGTCGGTCCAAAGGCCAGGGAGAAATCATATGGGAAGCGGGACATTTTATTCCAGAATAAGGTCTCTCCCAATTCACGGGTTCAAAGGGCAACGGGTTAGACTTCTCCTACCCGAAGATGATCACAAGGGGTGACGCAAATAAGGTCGAATATGGAGTTGGAGAGTCCGAAAGAGACGGAAACATCAATGTTATCCTTCTGAAACTCCAACGGCTTAAATATTCCAGTAGGTAAGGGAAGTTGGCAAAATGGATACATAGCCTCATGCTGTACCGCCTCTAGCTTCGGAAAAAGTAATCGTATTAATTTTGACTTTGAAAAGACAGGCGGGCGGTGCGGGGTAGGGACGGGCCACATTTATTTCAGCACAGGCGAGAGGAACGGTTTGATCAGATGAGGGCCATGAGAGCAGCCGCATTTGGCGGTGCGTGTCCGACATATGTGGTTCGGCAGGTGTTTTTCGAATGCAGGTAAATTTGCTTGCCGTTCTTAGTTGAGCGGCCTGCTGAGGCTGTAATGAGTGGACTTCAGAAGGTCAGAACTCTTCTCCTCTCCCCCTCACCCCCTCTGCGTAACGAACCGTGCTCACTGTGATATAGTACCAACATATAATAATAAAGCTAGTTGTGGTTACATCTCGTTTATTATAACAGTGCAGGAAAAAACTTATAATTCTATAATACACAAATAACTATCAGGCTACAACAGCCACGCCCGCTTCCATTGTCACATGCCCTCGTTCTGCGTTGTCTGCGTTATGTTTCTATCTATCTCTAATGTAGATCATTTATAATGGTGAAGGTGTTATCAATAACCTTATTAGTATTTAATAACCATTCACAAGCATTATACATATATATATATAAGTAACTTTCATTAAAAGGGAAATTGTGTACTATTATCTAATAATATGAGAACACTAACTAATTAACTAACTTAATATAATTAATGCATGTGCAACATAATATAAATAATTCTAAGACTACGTGTACTGTCAGATAAACCTATCCATATCATTGTTTTACATTCCTTCCAAATATGTCTGTGAAGCAGACAAAATAATTATACATTAGTCATCATTTCTTCCTTTTTTAGGTTGGCAAGATTAAATATTTATAAATACATGAAGAATAATATATTCGAACAATTCAAAACAAGGATCTTATCAAACACACTAAACAAATGTCTTATTAATCTGTTTTTAGTCGAGATAAACCATTATGGATAATTTTAACTCATATAATTATCTTCAATAATTACTGTTTTTTTGTAATACATAAAATTTTAACAACAAAGTTAAATCAACCACAATGCTCAGTTGTTTGAAAGTGTAAATACACGTTCCAACCTTTAGGAATTGAAAATAAAGTACATCCCAGTAACTTTCGGGAAAATATACCTACAATTCATTGGAAGATAAATCTAAATCATTGGTATTGCCTCACAAAACAGAAACTTAACAGCTTACGCGTTTTTTAGATATTGAAAATAAAGTACATCTCATTAACTTTTGGGAAAATATACACATAAACATATTCATAGGACTATCACAAAACATTTTGAATCTTAATACATATATTCTATTTCTATTAACCAAATAGTTCTCACGTTATAAAATATGCCCCAAATCAATTATATTTTTTTTAAAGCAAAATTTCCCGCTGTAACAAAACGCGTGGGGCAGTGGTTCCTAATTTGTGCTCCGTGCAGTACCCCAGGGTTCCGCAATAATAAAAAAAAATTGTACTGTAAAATAAAATTTGATATCAAACATTCAATTCTCCAACGTTAAATCAAAACTCAAGGTGATACTGGAATATAAGAAGCATAGAAATTCTTCCATTTTGTGTGTTTTCTGTTATATATCTCTACCCTTTTCCCCAGTCGCTATTCAGAACAGCTGAGCCCGTTCCACAATCACTATAAATTCATTACAATTGTATTTATATATTAAAATAACCCCTAACTCGATATAAATTAGAGATCCTACAAAACTAATATATGTTTTATATAGCTAAATAATTTTTAATATTAAAGAAACAACATTTTCACGATTCTGTTTTACAAGATGTTGGATCATTTGTAAATTTTCTAATATGTGATACGATTATGTAGATTATATAATATCCAAATTTCACGAACAATAGACAATATCGTCTTGCTGGATTTAGTTTTATGTTCTATAATCTAAATGTGGTATAACTGTCGAAATATTTTGAGCTTTTTTGAAATATTTTGTTTATGGTGGTGAACTTGAGTATGCAGTGTAAATGACATGTAATGAGGTTTAACGTCCTACTTTTCTGCTTAGACTGCGTTAATAAAGACGGGCATACAGTGTGACATGGTGAGGAATTTTGACCTTAGCACTACGGCCTACTATTAATTGGAATTCCAACTAATGGGTTTTACAGTCTACTATAGCCTTTGTTGAAGGGGGTATAAGAATTCTGAAACTCCATCAACAAAGACAAAAAGAACATCCCGATCTTTGTCATAATCGTCCATATTCTCTTTCAGATTTTCCCTGATATTATGTATGATGGTTGCTAATTGGTGTTTTGTATTTAAATGTAGATCTTTGGAGCTCTGAATGATAGTGTATAAATCAAGTGGTAATGTAATTATGGATGCAACAATGCCTGCAATAGCTGTTACTTTTACAGCAGTAGCTGCGGATCTTGCAACACTACCTACAACGTCGGTTGTCGCGTCTGTAGCAACAGCGACTGTTTTTGCCACTTGGCCACCGGTTGTCACGGCCGCATTTGCTGCAACTACGCTAGCATCATGCTTGGTATCTGTTTCTACTGGCTCCAGATACTTATTTTCAACATTTAACAATTGTAGTAAATAATCCCCAGCTTTATCAAGACCCTTCTTTACCTCTTCCTTAAACACTTTATCGTTGGAGCGAGTAATAGATTTGTTAACGACATTCTGAATAACACACTTAATCTCATTATTTGAAAATACTTCTGATAATACGTGGTAAAATTTAACTTCTTCATCACCGAGTTTCACCAAAAGTTCTCTATCTTCTTTTAGTAGAGCCTCCATTTCTTTCTTGCGTTTTTTGGTGATGACTACATCTGCTATCGTCGCTCCACCACCAGTGACACCACCAGCTATACCAATGGCAGCTCCAGTAGCTGTCAAAATTAAGGAGGTACCAAGCGTTAATGGAGCAGCTACAACTCCTACAACCGCCATAGTAGATCCTACAATTCCGCCAACACCTCCAGCTATTTTGCTGATGCGGACGTCCTTTACCATATTATTCAGATCAAACTCAAAATTAGAGAAGCAGTTAACAATATCTTCCCGTTTGTTTTTCCATTGTGTATAAGCCTTCATGTACTTTCCTTCAACCTCAACTAATCTGAAATAAACAACAAAACTAACTACATTATTAATGATCTGCGGAAATGAAAAATGCAAATGCAATCCATATATAATAGTCTAGTATTATGTTCTTAGCTATATGATAGTTTTATTGATGCTTTTGCGACACTTTATAAAGGAGATGTGGGACATTGCACCACAGATGACCGATTTGTCATTTATATAACATTATAAGCTGTGATACCGCTACTGTGTTAAGGCGTGTTGCAATCGTTCCCAGTCGAAATCTCAATAGCTCTAGCAGGGGGCTGTGGTGACTCAGTGGGTGGGACGCTAGGTCTCTAGCTAGGAGGTACTGTGTTCGCTCCGGTTGTTGGCCGCGAAATTTCCTCTGAATTTTCCAGCACAGTTTCCCCCGTGTCAGTGGTTCAGGACTGATGGGCTGGCAAGGACGATTGTCTAGTCGTTCGGATGGGACGATAAAAGCGAGACCTCGTCTACATACTGACCCGTAAAAAAATCCCATGACAATATTTCAGTAGTATATTTTACTCACCTTTTCAAGATACCGATTGCACGGTTGTATTTTACGTGTGTATAAAAGCTGTCTGTCTTCACGCCCTTTATTAATATCGACATACGGCCTAATTCAGTTTCTAAATTGGGCGACTTGCTATTTATAAAGACAGGCTTATTCCTAACTTCTCGTAACATTTTGTTTAATTCTGAAGGTGCTGACTCTATATACTCTTTTTCTGAGATTCCATCTTCGTCCAGTCGGCCTCTATTGGTAAACACAATCTCCATGTGTTCCGTGACGGAATCGCCAAAAATCATTTTTACGTTTCGGAAGGTTTCGCTATCTTCCTTGGTAAACCTTGCTCCCGCGTTGATACAGAAAACAAAGCGATTGGGGCCTGCTTCCGACAGCGCAAGACATCGTATTATTTCTCTTTTATTTTCTTCTTCTTCAACATTGGTGTCAAAAAATCCAGGTGTGTCCACTACTTTTACTGCAGTGCCTTTACAGTAGCCTTCATCTGCCTCGGATGTTGTTGTGACTGAACCTAGTAAGGTACCACATTTAAAACGATATTTCTTTCCTAATAGTGCATTCGCTAGGGAACTCTTACCACTTCCTGTTTTGCCAAGCATTACCAATCTGACAGCTTCTATAAAAATACCGTAGGCTTAGTATGTATAAGATAATTTCACAAAGAGAGAGAGAGAGGGGGAGAGAGTCGTTATGATCTGAAGCACGTCATGTATAAGACCTTTAGGCCATTCCCCTTTGTGAGTCATACTAAAGATAACGTCACTAAAGTCAGACAAAATGTGAGGGGGGGGGGCATAAGCTTAAAACGTGATTTTCTGTACAACCGGGGCCATTATCCAGGAAAAGGTAAGTGAAATGAAATGGGATTTAACGTTATAATGTTCTGCTCCAGCTGGGCTAATAAAGACCGGCATGCGCCATAAAGTTTGTCATAAGGGATATTTTGCTTTAGCCCATATATCGGTTCTACTGCCTGAATATGAATACGTTAGGTATTTCTAAGGACCATTTAGATGTTAGGACATGGGGAAAGCATGGAATATGTCATCATAGAATTAAATTTTACGCTAACGTCTTACACACTGAGCCACTGTGGCTCTCGTCTCATCTTGTAATCGATAACACAACCAAAGAAACTCAAAGAATGTTACAGGGCAACCCAATTTACTGTCACGTACACGTGTTGGGTCCAACCCGTGCTCTACACGGATAACATGACTGATTGGGATAATAAAAACGCCAACAACAACAACCGCCTCGATATGAATATATTAGTTATTTCTTACCGGTCAGGAGTCACAGTGGCAAAGTAGGTAGACGCTGGCTCGATATCCTGGGGGTCGCGTGTTTGATGCCTGACCGAGAAAGTTCATCGGGATAGGTACAGCGCGGACGGCCTGACAAGGACAGTTGTCTAGTCGTTCAGATGGGACGAAAAACCAAAGTCCCGTGTACACATCTGTGTGCACGTAAAAGTTCCTTTGGCAGTTTGAATTTGAGATAAGAGCAGGCCACAGTGCCGCTGAACGGGCAAAATGTGCCTCATAGCACACAGTTTGGCGCATACCCGTCTTCACTGGAACAGTAGGACGATAAACCCCATTTCATGTAATTGATATAAAATTATCTAGAAAGTGTGAAACACAGTATCGTAGATTAATCACCTTTGGAACCCATGGCTAAACGTAATTTTAATTTTACGGTCTGCCCAATCTACCAATATCCTAAATATTTTGTGTGATATACCATAGACAAGTTTAGTTCATCCCAGAGATAGAAAATATGAATTACAAAGATTCCTTACCTTTATTGCTAGACATGGTGGTCTTCGTTTCTTATTTGCTGATCCAGTTATGAGGAAGATCTGAAAAATCTCATGGATTATGAGAGGTTGTGCACCTCTCAAGTTCTTTTTTGTAACTATCTGGAAATAATGCAGATGGTTATTAGTCAGTATAGACATATACTAAGCAGCAAAAGAAACATCGGGTTGGTATGCTACTCTGAATAGACGCATTGCATAAAACTTGCCAAATGTTTTTATGGAATATATTTGTGACCACATCTCCAACTTTACCTGAGCAATAAGGCTCCTTCCCAAACACAGAATTGAATCCAGGAAATGTTCTCAAAAACGGAACCTGACTTCTAAGATGGTAATGTGTCCTCCATGATTTTAATGTAACTATCAGCCCTATAAAATGCACACCCCATGAAATTCAGAGGAGACTTAATCACGTCGTACCGAGACCGAACACAGCCGATGGATTGCGCCAGGCTTTTCTGATAGTGTGGTTCCATGTGCCAATGGCGTTCATCAATCGCCTGGTTCACTGCGCTGCTGTTATTGACACTCGCGGTGGACACACCAGATGCTGATGTATAGACTGTGTACAGACCACTTATATGCTAGCACATTGTCCATCTGTAGTGAAATTTAGAAAATATATTACATCCGTTACTGCAATATCAGATCCCTTGTGTAATACATGTTACATTAAATAACTTTCTTACTTATCTAAACCCATTTATACATATATTATGCAAGAGCTATTGCAGGTCTTTCTTTAGGTCTTACATGTTATATTGATTAGATATTAATTAACATATCCAGACCATAATCAACTCTCGATGTCATCTTATGTGTCGGACTTTCACTGGATTTGAATCCGATCTGGTGCTCAACGCTCATTGGTGATTAAATCCAAAAATGGATAATCGAGACTATGTTTTTATCGTACCTACTTTAGTAATGATGATCGAGGCTAGGCTTGAAATTCAAAAGCTAATATCTCGGTTCAGAGTTCATCAATTTGACTGAAATTTTCCACAAATTCTATTTACGTTATCTATTTTTAATTATTATAGCGAGAACAGTCAACTCTTTAGCCAATCCGATTACAGACCTATATTTCGTTTCGTTTTTTTTATATTTTCAATGGCCTACACTACATGAATATCTGAAAAGTTATATTGGGAGTTCACGTCAGGGGTCATACGAGTGCCTTTTGACCCAATGACGTCATACGTTTGATTAACTAATCAGCATTGATGTTACTACCCACAGTTCCGTACAAAACATGTCTAAAGCTCGCCGTAACAGGCCGTTTCATTGGCTAATACCTCACACTATTCAGAACACGTCAATGATTACAACTCTTCCAGATCCTAGTGTAGTAAAGAAAAGTAAAACGAAATTTTGAACTATAAAAACGAAACGAAAAAGGATCCCATAATGTCTCTTTTAAGACGTTTGGTACTTCAAAATTCACAATTTAAAGCTAACATTGTAAATTTTTTTCAAGTTTATTTACCAATTATGTTCCGAACTTGGCCCAAAAGCATGATATTAAAGGGGGCTGATGACTACAAAAACCAAATCGTCTCAGTTACGTCTAATTTTGCATGAACAATGTTAAATGCAAGCCCAAGAAACCCACGGGCCACGTTTGGTTATAGACTGTGGTTTGGTATCTATGGAAACGCCAAAATATGATGAGTTTTCTTGGATATAAGTTCTTGCTTAAAAGGGATATCGAAATTCCCTCCCGTATAGATCGAAAATATGGGTTTTAAACGATACTAAAGACCGTAAACAAGCCAACGGTGAGGCTGATGTCCCCCGCCAAAATCCTAAAATGAATAGATGACAGATATTAAGTAATCGCACATTTAATTTTTTCAAAGTATCAAGCAATCAAACTGATTATCAACTATACACTAAGTTTCATCACTCGCTATCAGATAGAATCCAAATTATCTTGTCCCAAAGCATTCTTCGGTAAAGCGTGGAAGCCTGTTGCGGCCATTTCATAATCTCGACGAGACGTCAAAGAGAGGGAGCGAGAATGCGAAAGCGCGAGGGAACACGACGAGAATGTGAGCTTCTTAAGTTCAATTTGTACACATGTTCACTGATTACCAACAACAGCACAGTTTTTCCAAACACATACAAATCTGCAATAATCAATCTACTAATATCCCAACTCAAATCACATGTGTTTTCCGGTGTGTTTCCTGTTGTCAGTGGTGCAGGAAGGAGGACCTGACACAGGCAGCTTTTTAGTCGTCGATTTGACGAAAAACCGAGGTCCTGTGTACAGATTGATGTGCACGTAATAGATCCCTTGGCAGTAGGAATTCGATAAAAAAAAAGTAGGCCGTAGCGCCGCTGTCCGACGAAGTTTTCTTCATAGCACACTGTATGGCGTATTCTCGTCTTCATTAGCCCAGTCAGAGCAGATCATTAGAACGTTAAACCCCATTTCATTTCATTCCCTTTTCAATCACATATCATTAATATGTCGTTATTTGAACGTTCATGGTGATAATACGTTATTTTGTTAAATTGTTTTTATTAGAACGTATATACTTTTTATAAACAAAAACAAACGTTTTGGGGATAGACCACGTATATTTAAACTACGGCTTAGTTTATCAATCAAGGTACTTTTATGCATCAATGAAGACGGACACACGCTTTGCAGTGTAGGCCTACTGTGAGCTAAATTTTGCCCAGGCAGCGGCGATACGGCCTACTCTTATTTCAAACTCCGTCTAGGGTTCCATTACGTGTGCGCTTACACGGGACCCGGTTTTCCGTACCATCAGAAAGACTAGACACTTTTCACTTCCATCCCACCCGCGTCGCGCACTACTGACTAGGTGAAATCACGCTGGATAAATCCGGGGTAATTATTCAGCCAGCATGGGGAAAAAATGAATTTCTTAAGTACCGACCACGGTTATTTTAAACTCCGTTCCTCAGGGTACATTCAAACAAAATCATTATCAGGCGTTAACAGTAAGTCGTTGCGCGTGGTCGTTAATAAAATATTTAACATTGCTCACCTTGTCAAAATGGCAGTTTAATAGCAGTTTATAATATCATCAAGGAGTCTGTTATACGCCCCCTTTGCAGCGCATCTGATATGTTCTTATAGTGTCGCCTATATATGTTTAAGCTGTTATCTTTATTAAAAAGATGTAATTGTATCTATCATATATACATTTCATAACCCCTTTTAAACACATGACGTATCCATTACGTGATTGGCTAAGTGGGTAAGACGCTGGCTCGCTAGCCTGGAGGTCGGGTGTTCGGAGGACCTGGCGAAGACAGCTGTTTAGTCGTTCGTATGAACGAAAAACCGAGGTCCCGTGTACACTTTGCGTGCACGTAAAAGATCCCTTGGCAGTTGGAATTTGATATACGAGTAAGCTGTATAGTGCCGCTGTCCGGGCACAATTTCTCTCATAGCACACTGTATGGCGTATGCCCGTCTTCATTAGTCCAGTTCGGGCAGAACAGTAGGATGTTGAAACCCAATTTCATTTCATTTCATTTCATTTCCATTACGTGAACTAATTCTGCCTAGTGTACAAGAGTAAACTCCTCGTAGATTTGTCGAAAGAAATAGGTCTCCATCCACAATAATCTAATTACTAAAAAAAAGACTATATTTTCAATTTATGTTATTTGTCGAAGGTTCGAATTTGCTATAGCAATCGCGTGATTTCACTGAAGTCACGGTCGTCCAGCGAATTTCTTATAGCGTGCCAGATTGATTACTGCTTGTCGTGTGGTGAATATCATTATAATATTCCAGCTTATAATGTTCTAGATTGATCTAGGCATATTGTTTGTAACTGTTTTTGATTGCTTCGCAGATCCAAGCTACGACCAAGAGCAGATAATTTGAATACGTGAATACCCCATAGATTAACCCAGGGTATAGTGGAGTAGCACGGAATGAGACCACTGAGGATACGGACGATGAAGATAACATAATTATCAAGATACTGTGTCGTCCATCTTAATCCACTTAAACGTTTATTTTAAATCAAACCCTTATTCCCCGGGAAAACATCATTTCTAGGAAATCGAATGGAGGGCCTGGGTTGATGACCATGTGTCGGTAAATGTGAAGCCCACAGTCATGCCAAAAATTCTATGCCAAGTGCATTATGTCTCACCGTTTAGCCAGGGCGGGGGCGAATGGTTTGCGCGTACGCGTTGTAGACGTTGAACACCATTTCTCTCTCACACCGTTTATCAGCTTTTTCTTTGTATCTCTAATACATCTCATTCGATCTGCCACAGGTTAGTCGGTCCAAAGGCCAGAGAGAAATCATTAAATCTCTCACCCAATTCACGGGTACAAAGGGTAACGGGTTAGGTTTCTCGTACCCGAAAATGATCACAAGCGGTGACGCAAATAAGGTCGATTATGCCGTCGGGGGAGTCCGAAACTGGCGGACACATGGTGCGAGAGCAATCAATTTTATCTGTAAAGGCTAATCCGGTACTGTTCGACAGTCCCCTGAATCTTTAACGGCTACATATTCCAGTCCACCACGTGTTTCTAAGGTTCGCAACCCCTGGGCGACAGAACACTGTAGGTATCGAGCTGTACCACCTCTAGCTTCTCAAAAAGTAATCGTATTAATTTCAGCTTGAAAAGACGGGCGTGCGGAGTGGGGTAGGGACGAGCCACCTTGATTTCAGCACAGGCTAGAGGAACGATGTGATAGGGCCATCAGAGCAGCCGCATTCATGGCAAGGTGTGTCCGACCTATGTGGTTCGGCAGGTGTTTTTCGGATTCAGGTAAATCTCCCTGCAAACGACTTGAGTTGTTTGTCCGAATCGGGATGTTGTTCTTAGTTCAGCTGTCTACTGAGGCTGTGATGAGTGGACTTAAGAAGGGCAGAACCCCCCCCCCCATCCTCTCTACGTAACGGCCCGTGCTTACTGTGATATAGTACCGATATGTAATATTAAAGCTAGTTGTGGTTACATCTGGTTTATTATAACAGTGCAGGAACATACTTATAATTCTATAATACTCTATTAATTATCAAGCTACAACATACAGCAACATCATATCTACTTGTATTCAGTTTATAGGCACTCCCGCTTCCAT